CTGGCTGGAGTGCAGTGGCACAATCTTGGCTCCCTGAAAACTCTGCCTCGCTGTTTGAAGCAATTCTCCTGCCTCAGCTTCCCAAGTAGCTGAGATTACAGGCGTCCATCACCACACTCAACTAATTTCTTTTGTATTTTTAGTAGAGACAGAGTTTCACCATGTTGTTCAGGCTGACCTCAACCCTTTGGCCCGCTTCAGCCTCTCAAAATGCTGGGATTATAGGCATGAACTATCATGCCCGGCAGGCCTGGCTAATTTTTTGTATTATTATTATTATTTTTTGTAGAGGTGGGTTTTATTTTTTGTGGTTTTTTTTGCCATATTGCCCAGGCAGGTCTTGAACTTCGGGGCTTGAACTCTTGGGCTCAAGTGATCATCCACCCATCTTGATCTCTCAAAGTGCTGGAATTACAGGTGTGAGCTGATGCATCCAACCAGCCTATATATGTTACTTTTCAATGGCACTTTTATGTAGGCTGTAAGATGGGTAAAATGGAAAATAGAACAATTGTTTTGAATTTCTTTTAAAGACTGAAAAAAAAAAAAAATGAGTAGATTTGGCCTTGAGGGTGGTTGGTGCTTATTGGGGCTTAAATGTGAATATTGCATTGTGCTCTTGTTGTCACCAGAATTAGTAGCCATGGACCAGTATTTCTTGAGCCCTCTGGGCTGTGGGTGGCTTTGCACAGGGGCGCCTGGAGAGGGGACTCCATGGGGCAGTCCTGCAGACATGATTTGCTTTTTCTACCTCCAAAACCTGTCAAGAAGATAAGAAATCCATGTCTTCTAGATTCCTTTACATAGAAGAGATTAGACTCAGATGGGTTTTGGTGGAATGAGTATAAATGAGAATCACTCCAAATTTTGTTTATTTCAAGCTCTAATGAAATTATAAATATAAAAATACAACCATAGTTTATGAAGACTTTAACACATTTTAAAGTACCCACAAGTTCTTAAAAGATTTTAGCAATTTCTCCACCCTCCCCCACTTTTTTTTTTCCCTGCAAATAAACATTTTCAAGGTGTCTCCATTTCTGGTTCTAATGAAGAAATCATTTCCCTAAATGTTTTGACATTTATTACACACAGTTCACAAAGGGGATACAGGACCTGTATTAATACTGAGTTCTGTTTTTATGTTGTGTGATGAATAACTTGTTATTTCATACTCTCATTTATGACTGTATATGTTCCTGTTCACTGCATGAACACGCTGAACTTTCCAACTATCCTTTTGTATTTTGCAATGTGACAGACAAATTGCTCCCTCCCCAGTGGAGAGTGGGAGAGGGCAATTCCGTTTTTGTTGTTATTATTGTTGTTGTTTGTTTATTGGTTTCTGAGGCAGCCTCTCCCTCTGTTGCTCAGGCTGGAGTGCAGTGGTACAATCATGGTTCACTGCAGTCCCGACCACCCAGGCTTAAGCTGTTCTCCAACCTCAGCCTCCCAAGTCGCTGGGACTAAGATGTGTGCCACCATGCCCAGCTTGAGGGCAATTCTGGGTAGGGTTTTGGTGGTAGAAGTGCTGTGTTTGTCCTTTTCAAGCCTTAAAGCTTTGGACTTGGCCAGGGAAGCTTCCTCTCATTCTTTACCCATTTGTGTCGCCCGATCGCTTTCCTAGGATATGTGCGTTTGTTTCGAAATGGACCCAGACAAGTAACATTTTCTTTCACTGGTAATATTCTTTCTTTAGAATGTTTTGTGTCAGTTAGAAGGGGACCTTGCAGAAATAGATTCTCCACTGTGAATTATTTTACAAAAAGAAGGGGACCTTGCAGAAATAGATTCTCCACTGTGAATTATTTTACAAAGGAGCTTTTGTTTCTAAAACCAAATGCAAAATTTAGACTTTTAATGGCAAAATCATACTATAGGACTGAACAGGTAACTTTTATGTTCTTTGCTGGCAGTGGTTTGCCCATACCCCATACCCCATACCTGCCCCACAACACACACACCCACTGATGGCAAAGGCCTGGCCCTTAGCTTAGACTTCCATTTTTTAGTGCTTTTTCATGTCTCTGAAATACTTTATCTAAAAATAGAAATATAGACATCACCTGTGTATCTCCCGCCCAGTTTCACAGGAAATAGCAGCCTATTTATCCCTTCTTTTATACTATTATATTTTTTCCCTGAATTTGGTGTTGATCAAATTTGTGCATAGTTTTTATACGGTCTGTGTATATGATGGTAGTCCCATGAGATTATAATCCTGTATTTTTACTGTACCTTACCTATATTTAGATATGTTTAGATACATGAATACTTACCACTGTGTTACAGCTGCCTACTGTATTCAGTACAGAAACATGCTGTAGAGGTGTGCAGCCCAGGAGCAAGAGGCCATATCGTACAGCCTGGGTGTGGAGCACGCTGTCCCACCTAGGTTTGTGTGAGTACACGCTGTGATATTCACACAACCATGAAATTGCCTAACGATGCATTTCTCAGAACATATCCCATTGTTAAGCAATGCATGACTATACGTTATAAGAATGTGTCCATAAACAGTAATGTTTGTTTTTAAAATGTAACGGTTATTGACTCCTTCTCATATCCTTCAGTGATAGGTATCTTAGGTGGCATTGTTTTTAGAGATGATATGATTAAGTAGAATCTTAGTTATTTTTACTATTGTATTATATGAATAAGTAGAATCCTAGTTATTTATATTATTATATTGTCTTATATGAATACACCATGATTATCTGTTCTGTTGATTTTTCCACCTCCTCCCTACCCCACTCCTTGTCAGCCGGTGGAAATTGTTTCACACAGGGCTATGGGTGTGGGAGTACCACGCCTGTCTTCCTCTGGAGGTTCTTTAACCTGTGGCTTCAGACAGATCCAGGCCTTTCTGAGGAACTCATGCATGGCCATGAATGTAGATGCCCTTGTTGAAGTGGGCCATGAGAGAGAACTACAGGAACAGCATTTGCCAACCCTTTATCTGGAGCAAAAGCCCAAGAAATGAGATGGATACATTCAAACTGTTCAGTCATTTCTGTTTCTCCAGTGTGTTTTTGCCTCCAGAGTTAAAGTATCTAGACGTTTTACCACTAAAACTTGGAAATGGGCATGCATACTCTTTGCTGAAAGTGCCATGGCCAGGCTTTATGTTCCATGTGTGGACAGTGGGGATGGGGCCTGAGGCAGGGGAGGCGTTCCTCAGAGCTCATGCCTGTGGCCCCACTGGCATCCTGGCTCCAGAGCAAGGCCTGTGTGCAAGACCCAGGTCTCCCAGGATGAGTTGTTTTGCCTTTTTTTTTTTTTTTTTTTAACCCCAGGGAGGATGCCCCATTCATCATAGGATGAATATAAA